GAAAAAATATATTAAAATTAATTTTTTTTGAAGTCTAAAGCGAAAATAACCATTTTTATTTTTAATATTATTTTTTAAAAAAATTAATTTATTATGTTTTAGAGATACAGAAGAAGGGGTGTTAGTATTGCCGAAAAATATTTTAATTTTAATTTTTATTTTTTTAGTAGGAGTGCACGATTGAATGATTATTTTTCTATTAACTTTATTTTTTTAGTTTTACCTATTTTTATGTAAATGCTAAAAAAAAATTATTTCATCACACACTACTTTTGATGAATGAGCTAATTAATTATTAATTATTATCTAATTTTCTTCAATTGTAGTTTTTTCCTTAACTTAAATTCAAGACTTCTTTTATCTGGGTCCAATTTTTTAAAATATATAAGAAACACACACAGAATGATTGTGAGATAGATTGAGTTTGAATAATTTACTATTTAAAATTCTCACTGACAGTCATTTTTTTAAAAAATATTTTGTTGTATTAAAAAATTACAGTTCTCTTTCTCGATATTTTTAACTGATAGAAGATTTAATTATATTTTATTCTCCAAATTCAACTTGGATTAATGAATTTTTTTACAACTAAAATTTAAATACAAAAACTAAATAGTTGTTTTACATCTTAGATACAAAAAAACAAATTTTTTTTTAATTGAATATATAATAAGATTGTAAGATTTTTAAGTCGTTTCTAAATTATTTTATGTCATAGCACTAGAGCCTCACTGTATATTTTTGTCTAAGGCCGTCATATTTGTTGGGTCACCCCTGGCTGCTGCTTTCGCTGGATCTGCTGGTCTAGTGCTCTTCGTCGCGGCTTTGTTGTTGTAGATCAGATTTTGGTTTGCTCTTCTCTGCTTGAAATGGAGATTTAGGGCTCATTCATTAGCATTTTTTTTTTGGCTATTTGTTTTTCACATTTTTGCTTTAATTTATGGTTGTGTTGATTGTGATGTGCATTACATGATTTGGATATTGTGGATTTGATTTATTATATTATCTATATTCTCATTTCCTTGTGATTTATTACTGTTGATATGTGCCATTTTTTCCCGTATGATGCACGTCTTTTTTGTGGTTTGATCTCTATTGCTTTCAGAACGATGAATGAAACAGATGGCTCCGATGGGAGTTGCGAAGTGAGAGAGAGAGAGAGATATGAATGACTTGTTTTCCCTAAAAAATAGAACTAAATATACAATTTAAAAAAAAAAAATAGAGAAAGCAAATGCAAGAAATTGAACAAAATTATAATAAAAAATGCCAAAATGAAGAAGATCTAAACATGATGGGTACTAGTAGAATGCAAGCAAATGCTGACTGGGGGAACACCTGTAGAACCTTATTACATGCATAGCTGATGTAGGGTCAAGAACACAAAAAGACCTATGGAATTTTATTAATCTCAACTCCCATTCCCCACCTCCACCACGCCAATATGGGACAAAGCCCACAAGTAGTCCCCTTTTCTAGTCCATCAATCGTGGACAAGACAAAAAATTGCGTATTTTTGAAGATGACGAGTGAAATAAACAGTTACTTATTGAATAAATTGGAGAAAAACTAAAATGAGCACATCTTCACAAAGAGTAAGATTTGAGTTTGGGTTGGTTTTATGATTTGAATTAAGTTTGTGTTCACCTGTTAACATGCTTAACTCGCTTGATTTGCACCCCTACCCCTATGTTACATATTCAGTTTGTGCCAATCATTGGATAATACTAGAGAAGTTATATTAAAATTAATGTTAACCTGAACAAAAAGGAAAAAAAAAAAAGAAAAGCTAATTATAATGTTTTGTTTGGTACGATGAAAAAGTGATGGATCATTACTAGGGATGTCAGTGGATCGAAGCGGGAGCAGAGAGTGTAATCTTCATCCTTGTAACAGTTTAAAAAAACTTCATCCATCTCCGTTATCGGGTATAGTTTTCATCTCCATTCCTGTCCGCGAGTAAATTTCTAATCTACATCCCCGTTCCCGCTTCTCCCGTACCTGCCCAAGCCCAAACCCAAGACCAAGTAGCATAATCCAAAATTTTAAATAATCCAACAATATTCTAAATAATCTAACACAACATAATGTAGATTGAAAAATATAAAAGCCAAAACAATATAGTATTCTATTTAAAGTATCATTAGACCACAAAATGAGAAACAAAACTATTAGAGAAAGGAAGAAAATAAAAATAAAATTGAACTAAGAAAACGATAGCACTACACTTGAAATTTTTTAGAACAATTTTTGTTATTACAATTCATATTACAACCATAAAGTGTTAAAAGATAAAAAATTAAAATTTTGTCAATTCAATAATTCTCCTCATTTCTTAGTTCACTCTAATAGGGAAACTCATCAACCTCCACTCACAATATTTTTACCTACGATGAAATGCAAAATTATTTTATTTTCTCTTTTCTGTTTTTTGAGTTTGGTAATTCCAAACTCATAATAGTTTCAATCAGTGAGCACAGATAGAAAAAAACACAATCAGGAAAAAAAATTGATAAAATTACCACATAGTAATGTCACTTGTTAGTTTGATTACCAAATTTTTAGATTGGTAGTTACAGTAAAGATGTTTAGTTAGGGCTTGAAAATATTTATATATATAACGGGTAGTGGGGGCGGGGGTAGTGATAAGTCAATCCTCGCCTTCATCCCTGTACGAGTTTATACGGGTATCCTTATATACGTTCACCGTTCAATACGTATAGTCCATTCCCGGTCCAAACGGGACAGGTTTGGATGAATACCTATTTTTCTCCGGTCCACTGTCATCCCTAATTATTACAACTCACCAAATTTTGTCCTTCCAAATTTAGGAGGACGGGGAAGGAAAATTAACTATGTATACATTGAAATGTATGTTATTTACCTTTATATACTTCAATATATGCATTTATTCTATTTATCTATTACATTATGACCTTGTTTGGTAGATGTATTATAAATAGATTAAATATTGTATTGTATTATTATTTATTTAATCGGACCTAATACTTTATTTGATAAATAAATTTGATTTCGTATTAATTTCAAAATCGTATATTGATCAAATACTATTTTTAGTATTATAGACCTATATTATGGAGATATTTTAATATCACTAGGAGATGATGTATTATAATTCATCTCCAATGTATTATTGTACACATTTACTATTATAACCCTATAACTGATAAAACCAAACTGTCATCAATATAACAAATACTAATTGAGAGTATTTTTGTTAATTCAACATCAATACCATGAAATAATGTCTTAATTACACAATCAATTGTATATTGTTAAATATTAGATAAAATTACGTATTATTCGAATACACTATTTAATCTTTTTTTTTATTCATTTGTATTGTATTATACTGTATTTTACTTTATCCAATCCATCCATTTTTAATATGCAAATCAAACAAACTCAATATGTATACATTAACATTATATACATATACAATGGTAAAATATATATTTATACTTTTTCTATCATTTCACTTTTTCATTCTACTAAACAAGAAAAAATCCATCTTTTCTACTTTTTATTCCTTCTATCAAATATAAAGGATAGATATCACTCTCATTTTTCATCTTTCAAATTTTCTATCTACTCTACCAAACACACCGTAAGATAGTACAACAACTAGATTAGCTTTCAATTTTTATCATCAAGCTACTTTTTATCTTTTCCAGGCACCAAACATGAGTTTTAGACGGACTTCTTAATCTAAAACCGACCTTGCCTCATACCAACATTCTGTTTTGTATTTCCAACTTGTGCTGGAAAGTGAAGAATAGGATGGGCATGGGTGGGTCCAAACAAGACCTCAACTTCAATGTCGTGGCATACAAATATGGACTACATATGGACCTTCAATGTTGATAATGTCTATCCCGAAAGCAGCCATACCTACAGAATCTTTTTGCATGGCCATGTTCGAAGCTCTATATCTTCCCGAACTTGTTGAAAATGAATTTGGTGATTGTTCTAATCTTTCTCGTAACATGTGTCACGCATTAATACACGTAGGACCCATGATTTTTTTTTTTTTTTATGTGGGAGTAAACATTATTTGAATGCCTACCACAAGCAATTGTCACGATTTTAGAATATTGGGTTAATAGGAGAGTGTCTGATAGAGGGTTGAAAAGAAATAAAAAACCTATGTTATGGTGACTGTGACACTATATTATTATTGTCACGTAGTATTACTTCTACTAAATAAAACTAAATATATATATAGAGTGAATTTTAGCTTTTACCCAAAACTTGGCTATTTTGGAAACTTATACCCAAAATCGCATGGTTTTAAAAGTATTTTTCAAATTCATGGACTTTTGAAAATGTTATCTGAAATGATATTTTTAGCGTAAAATTGTCAGTAGAGGAATGACGACTTTAATGCATGAAACAACAATTGGACTAGCGTTCCCATGCAATGCAAACAATTCAACTAAAAATTTCACTTGAACTGACGTTTGTATCATAAAAACGTCAGTCTAAGTGACGTTTTTAAAATTACTTGAGTTTGTGAATTAATTTGAAAACTATTCTCTTTTGGGCATAAGTTTCAAAAATCCCTTACTTTTGGATAAAAGCTCGAGTGCATTCATGTTTTTTACCTGAGATAATTATTATATTACAAGAAAAAATAGTTATTCGATTAACTGTAGTTTTTTTATTGATGATGACGTGATATAATCATTACTTCTATCAAGCAGCCGGTAAGTTGATACAAAATGCTACGTTTTCAGATGAAGAAAGCTTTCATTCTTCTGCTTCAATTCATGTCAAACCCAATAAACAACAACCTACCCCAGTAACAGCATGAAAGTCCAATTGGACCCAACTCAAGCCCAGTGAGAATGGGGCCTGGCTAATAAAACTGGTCATTATTCATAAAGAAAATAAAAAAAAAAGAAAAGAAAAGAGCAAAAAAGTTGTGCAATTGCTTGAATCAGGTCCGACCATGGGTCTAAACCTGTCGATCCTGCGATTTATAGGGTGGTGGAATGGTTCTGCCGGTGGGGCTTGCCGAGCCCCAACTCCAGGGATCCGTTGGTGGTGGCTTTCTGCGTGTCACCCTTCTTGTTGCGGTAAATGGCATACAAGATCAGCTGCATTGCCCCTAAGCCAGTACCTAAACCATTGGACACCTGCACCACCATGGTATCTCTCCATAAAGTTTTAATTCATAAAAAAAAATTACTCATTTCAATTAGGCATATACATGTTAGGACAGTGAACTAGTTTCAGAATTGATCTTACAGGGTATAGCAACAGTGATAATTTATTACTCTATAGGACTCTCCTTACAAACTCAAGGGTCAGAGATATGGATTGGCCGGTACACCACAGGCCTCAACATGACTGTGAGGTTTAGTGTATGAGCCCTAAAGACCCAGAAGATAAAAATGACATAATGGCCAAGATTGGTTGCTATTACCCTTACATATAGAATTAAATGTATAAATCAAGACAGAAAATTGCAAAGAAAAAAATGGTATATGATTATACAAAAAAAATTAGGTGCACTTAAAGGTAGTAGTTTTTGATGCGACGATGCATCTCCGACACGAATTTCAAAATAACATGAGTTGTTAAGTTAGTGATAAACTCAAATGACTCGATTTTGACAGGTCAAATCTATTTATGAAGTAAAATATAAGATAAGATAATAAAATATAAAAATAGTTGATCAAATTCTATGATTATGCAAAATGGAACTACTTACATAAAGAAATGGATCTTTTCCAAGCAACCCAAAGATGAACCAGGAACTGCCACATAGGAAAACAAAGAGGGACACCAAGAATGGCATATACTCCACGCTCTTTGTTTTGATCACCATCGTCTGCACATATAAATTACAATATGTAAGTAATTGTTTATAGAGTCTTAAGGTAATTAGAAATCTATATAATTTCCTTGACTAAAGACCCTTTTTTTTTTTTTCTAAAACCCAACATTAGATTACAAGGGACAAAATCCCAAAAAAGGATCATATTATGTCTTAATGAAAATTATGCTAAACTTTTGGAATTCCTTCTTTTGCCGATCGAAAAACTTTTAAATCAAGGGTAATTCAAGTGATAACATAGATAAATTATAAATCTAGACGCACTGAATTCGAATCTTGTCAATTCTTTAAGACCAGGTCATATTAATTTATCTTTCAAGAATACTTTAATCTCGGTGTAGATAGTTTATCTTTGATCAAACTGGCGAAGAGATTAATTGATATATGTGTAAACTGGCCCAAACACCCTTGAGTGTTGAATAAAAAAAACTTTCGGAATGCCTCTAATACATAAAGTTATTTTCACATGGCATTGTCAATTTTTTTTTCTTCAAAAAATTCTCTTTCAAGTTGTACCTTCTTTTTAAATTTGCACACAATTTACATTTTCCCTCGAATTTTAAAATTTAGTTTTCAAAATTTCAAAATTGACCCACCAGAAAAAAATAATTCATCTAATGAGGAGCACCCTTTCTAACAGTAAGAATAATAACCCTATTACAACAATTGGAGGCACATGCTATGTGATTGTTCAATAACCATGGACTTGGAGGTATGATAGACGATCTATCATCAATGCAATTTGAGAGAAATGTAGGGTAGGATATTTTCGGGGAGTGAAATAGATCATGAAACCGTAAGCTCCCAAGTAGTGGGAGGAGCTTCGGGCTACATATGTTACTTTAAGTTTAGAATAAAACTATAATTACTGAAAAACATCTTTTTAATATCGTACCGAAAAGTAATTTTCAATCAAAAATGTTTCTTGCAGTTATTAATGTTAGAAAACCAGCCTCTATAATGTTCTCATAGGAAAGAAAAATAAGGTGTAAAGAGCCTACCATGACTGATAAAGGAGAAGCATACATAATGATGGAGAAGATTGAGGCAGCTAGACCACAGAGACGGTTCCTGTTCTTGCCATGGAGGGCCAAAACGGAGACCAATGCAACAGCTGAAAACACAGCGACGACGAAGACAAGAAGGCCCATGATCTTCCCCTTCTCCTTCTTGGGTGCATGTATAAGGAAGATCAACACGTAGATGGACTCCACAGCTACACCAGCGCCATTGATGATTGAAACTTGGGCGTTGTTATCTGACACGAATGACAAACCGTACCTGTTTGAGTTCGATCGAAAAAGTGATACATCATTAAATTAATAAGCATACATTAGGAAGGAAAAATGTATCACCAACAAGATGTTGGTGGATATATAGAAGTTGAATAAATAGAAATAGGATTGTTTTGATAAAAAAATCAAAATTTATTTTCACTCTACCCTAAATATTAGCATTAATTACAACAAATTTATATTAAACGATTTACTATCATTGAAGGAAAGTGTAAAAGAGAGAATTTAGATCGGTGTGTGCATATATAGTCTAAAAAAGCTGTCATTGGTGAAAAAAATGAGGGGCAATTGTGTCATTAGCCAATAGAATCTCTGAATTCTCTTAATGCTGTGAGACTTATTCTAGGACCCTCACCTAATATCATTAGATCTCCTATTTGAATTCATGCTGGTGGTGCTGACATGCATATTCAGCAAATTGAGAGGCTGTAAAAAATTATTAGATTAGTGAAAAATTTTGTAAAAATTTCAGTCATACTCTTTCTAGTTTATCATATTTTTAAAAATACCTCCTTTATTATCCAAAACAAGACTAACACTCTTCTAACTTATATTTAAATATTACTCACACTCTCTACTGTTAAACAATCATTTTTAACAAAAAAAAACAAAATTATCTAAAATATCAAAATTACCCTTACATAAACCTCAAAAAATCTTTTAACATAAAATTCAATTAAAATTTATTTTTCTATGTATTAAAATTTGAGTTGATAAAAATTTATTTTTCTACATATTAAAATTTGAGCCAATTGAAATTCCATTAGAACTGATTAAATTTTATTTTATTTTTATATTAAAATTCGATCCTATTAAAATTCTTTTTTTACGCATTAAAATTAGAGCCGATTTGAACTCTACCTGAGTTGTTAGCGTAAATTAAAATGTTTCGAATCGATTAAATTTTATATATTTTCTTATTAAAATTCGTGTCAATTAAAATTTGATTCAAGTTAATTAAAATTTATTTTTTATGTATTAAAATTTGAGTTAATTAAAATTTATATTTTTTTATGTATTAAAATTTAGACCGATTAAAATTAAATGCGAGTTGATTAAAATTTGATTCAAGCTAATTAAAAATAAATTTTAAAAAGCTCGAATGGAATTTTAATTGCCTTAAATTTTAATACATGAAAAATATAATTTTTAATTTACTTAAATTTTAATAGGTAAAAAATAAATTTTAATTAAGTCGAATCAAGTTTTAATTGACTCGAGTTTTAATATGTAAAAAAATTTAAAAAATAGACGGGGTCATATTGAAGATATGCCTATTTAGAAGGGGTATGGATGAAATTTTTTCTAAAATATATTACGGACAATTTAATAAAATTGCATTTTAGTTAACACTTTTAATCTAATAAGGGTGTTAATGAAGATTCAAAAAATAGAAAAAATGACTTTGAAAATATAATAAACTAGAAAGGGTGTGATTAAAATTTTTCCAAAAACTTATTATGAAAGGAAAATAAAAAGTAGACAAAACTTGCGCATTTCCAATTTGGTATGTACCATCTCATTCTCAACTGAGGAGCAAAACTAGTAATTAAAAACTTAGTTCAAATGGTAATAAAGATGAATTATAATTTAAGATATTTTTAATTCGAATCTTGACAATTCATTGAAACTAGGTTTTGCGAGATTTATTGATAATGAATATCTTAGTCATAAAATGATTCGTTTGCTTTAATTGGACTAGAGAAAAAACTAATAAAGGTGCGCCTAAGCTGTCCAAACAACCCTAACCATTGGAAATAAAAAATCAGTACCAATTTGAAATCAAATCAAAGAAAGAAGCACACCAGAAAGAAAGCAAGCAGTTGAGCAAGGTCATGAGATAGGGGACGCCAGAGAACTGTTCTGTAGATTTGTTCATAATGATCCTCTTGAAGGTGAGCCTATCAGTTAATCCAAAAAAAAAAAAAAAAATACTTAAAAAGTCGGATGATAGAGAGAGAGAGAGAGAGAGAGAGAGGAAAAAGTTAATCAGTTATAATGCTTACATTGGTGCCAAGAAGAGTAGCAGGCCAAAAGCATCCCCTACAGTTCAAAGAAAACAGAGAAATGGAAAACGTGAGAGAGAGAGAGAGAAACAATGGAAAGCAGTTAGAGAGAATGAAAAGCAAGCAGGCACACAACACAATAGAAGAGAATAAAAAACCCACCAAAAATCCCAAACACCAAATGCAGGGTATGAAACATGTCTTCACTTAATTTCTCTTGAATGAACCCAAAAAATGAAACTGATGATATCAAAACTAATCAATCAAGATATTCAGAACTTCAACAATGGTTTTCTTTGCAAATGGTTTTGTGAAAATGGGGTAGGGAAAGCAACAAGGGAAGGGTGGTTTATATAGAACCAAACCAAAGAAACAGACAGGTTTGCATTAAATTTTTTGGATTACGTCTTTATCCATTATTTGCTTTTGCAAATGAGAAGTGCCTTCTTCTAACTCTCTCACTAAATCTATCTCTTTTTTCTCACTATATATATATACATAATCTCTCTCTCTCTAAAATTAATCTAAAGTTCATGCATTTGAAGCAGCAGTTTGCTGGTAAGTGTCAGTTAAACGCGTAAACTCGTATTTTACCTGACTAATTATAGACAAGGTCGCTTTATTGCAAAACCGACCAGACTACTTTTAGCAACTTTTCAAAGCCACCCCTCCTCTTTATGTAAATGGCAAATGTTATCTCGACATAAAAGTTTGTACCCATTCGAATAATAATAAATTGACAAAAAAATCAGATAAATAATACCAAACAAATTATTTAGGCCCTTCATAGTTTGAGATGTGCACTATCATTAGAGTAGAGGAAAAGAAAGACTTCGAGGAAAAATTGTCAACATCAGAAACCTCATGTAAGAAGAAGAACAAAGAGTGTACAATCATTTATAATGGATGGACAAACAAGGGTGATAGGCCCTTCATTCATTTTTTTTGATTACTCTTTTTCAAGGTACTACTTCAGTTCAAGCGCAAGCCTTCCTTCTATTACATAAGCTAAAAAAACTATAAACAAAATATAACAAAGTTGTTGTGGGAACGATACGCTTCAGTTACCGACAAACGCTTCAAAAGGAGACCAGCTTTGTTACTCTACACTGACATTTTTACAATAGTATAGAATAGCATGGTTGGGGCTAAGCTAACTCAAGTGGGAGAGTCGTGTTAGGGGTAATCTTATTACACGGTTCAAAGAACACTATAATATTGATGCTTTACTTTCACTTTTATTCACTAAAAATTTAATTTTACTCCATACTAACTACTATATTATTTGGTCGTTCTTTTATAGTTTTTTTTTTTTTTTGATAATTTTTTTTTTAACTTAATGATGTATCAAGTGACACAGTCTCAATAAAAAAATTTGATAGTTAGAGCTAAATTTTTCTAATATTATTAAACTATGTAATTATCGCATTAAATTAATTAATCAAAATTTTGAATCTAAATAACGTTACACTTCCTTATCCTTGTAAAAGCCATTTTGTCTCCCTACAATTTGTGTCTTGGCTGGGGCCTGACATAGGGTGCCATTTGCATACCGCATGACACTGTTCAGTTACTGACGACCTGTGGTTGGCCCACACAATCAGATCCTTTGGCCCACCAAAATAACTTAGCTAGGCTTGTTAATTGGAAACCATGCTAAATATAGGGGAAGTTGTGAATGGTGCTCTATTTCATTTTGTTAGGATTATGTTTTTAATTGGTTAATTTTGTGAAATATTTTGTTAAATTTTAATTTATTTTATTGTCATAATGCTATAAACGTTGAAGATCTAAAAACATCAATAGAAGAGAGAAGATTGTGCTTTAAGCTACATCTATAGATTATTCGTATGTACATTTTTGCTTAAAATAAAGGTAATGACCTAAAGACTTTAGCACTTTTGATTTAGTTTATTAGACTTAGGTAAAATAAAATCGATGATTGTTTTGTTAATGACTTGTAGGTATTTTTCAAGAAATTTTTTTCTTAACCTAACGTGTTTTGAAAACATAGTGTTAAGTCATTAATGGGACCCTACTTAAGTAACAACTTTTAGTGTTTAAGAGGACACATTTTTGCTTGCTTTCTAGCTTAAATATTAGTAGAAACCGCCCTATATTCCTTAGCTTTTGTAAGAGTGGTCTCTTAACACTTAAAGATAAAACTAGAAAAAGCTGAACAGGTGAGTAGTGGAGAGTGCCTTCTGGGTTGCTCTTGGGCCGCTCGAGTGGTTTTGAGACGGCTCAAGCAGTCACGAGGTCTCTTGAGTGGTCCCTGCTCTCTTGCCTTGGTTTGAATTCCATTTTCATTCCAATAGCCATCATCCTCTCACCATTCTCCCACTGCTCGAACAGTCGTTTGTGAATTTGTATTTTATTGACCCTCAAGATAAACCTTATTTTGAGCATATAAATAGAGGAGGTCACCTATGCTACAGTAAACCTCTAGAGTGTATGTTCTGCTAGTGAAAAACCCTTGAAAGCTTGTGAGCAACCTTAGATCCCTACATACAAAAGGTCAAAACCCATCTTGTGATTCTTATCCAACATCACACGTTGAAGAAGAAGAACTTGTTTGGTTATACCAAACCCATTTGAAGAATGTGCATACCTAGATTATTGGGTGCGTCCTAGGAGTGCTTGAGGCCTAGATAAATTGTGCAGTGGGGAGTTCAAGTGAAGATATTCACGACATTGGTGGATGTATTCAGTGGAGAGATTTACTAAAGGAAATGAGCGTCTAACCATGGTATTGGTTATGGTATAAGATGATTTAGCAATGAATTTTTGTAGTCGCCAAAAAAATAAAAATAAAATAGTTCCCCCCCAAACCACAATTCCGTCCTTTTCCCTCCCTTTTTTCCCCTTCTTTTTCTTCTTTCCTCTTTTTGCCCGTCTTTTATGTTTTCTTCTATTTTCTGTGGTAGTAGTCCAAAGAGTGGAAAGGTTGTCTCTCTTTCTCTCTCTCTCTCTCACACACACACATACACTCACACGATTATTAAGTTCATCAAATTAACCCATAAACCCTAACCCTAACCCCACAAAATCACCCCCCACACATAGTCAGGCGCACGTGGGATCTGACAATACCTTCCCTCTCTCTCTCTCTCTCTCACACACACACACACACACATTTATAGGCGCACATACGCATGAATGATTATTAACTTCATATAATTAAATTATAAAACCTAACCATAACCCCACAAAATTAGACACACACACAATCAGGCGCACATGGGCACTGATAGTCCCCCCTCTTTATCTCTCTCTCTCTCTCTTTCACTCATAGACAGACACACATACACATGAATGATTATTAACTTTATATAATTAACGTATAAACCCTCTAGCCCTACTTACTCAGTCACACACACATGCACACAGTTTGGCGCACAA